ACAAACCAAAACACAAAATAAACTATCTTAAACAATTAAAATTGAATTAATTACACTCACTTTTAATAACACTCTAACCTTAACATGAATAAATAGGTAACAATGAATAACCTTAATAATTTAGAGTACAATAGATCACAATCACAGTTATAGTAATTATAAAATGAAGAGAAGGATGGTTGATTTTTACTATTTTTTATTTTGACTGATGACCCCAACCATCCTTCTTTTCAATTATTCACTACAGTCAACCATCAACCAACAATTAAAAAATGTAATTATAAAGTTTTTCGAAAGTGGGGAGTCTATAGTAATACATAATTAATTATCACCCACCAACCCACCACCCACAAACCACAACACACCATAAAACAACCACCAACACCCAAAACCCACACCAACCCACACCCCCCAACAAACCCACCCACCACCAAAACAACAACAACCCCAACCCACAAACACCCACCACCCCCACCCAACCAACCCCCACCAACACACAACACCACCACCCCACACCACCCACCAACCCAAACCCACCCACCCCCCCCAACCAACACCCACACCCCCCCACACCCCACCACCCCCCCCACCCCAACCCACCACACCCCCCCCACCACCCAACCCCCCCCACCCCCCACCCCCCACCACCACCCCCACACACCCCACCCCCCCACCCCAACCCCCCCCCCCCCCCCCACCCCCCCCCCCACCACCCCACCCCCACCCCCCCCCCCCCCCCACCCCCACCCCCCCCCCCCCCCACCCACCCCCCACCCCCCACCCCACCCCCCCCCCCCCACCCCCAACCCCCCCCACCCCCCACCCCCCCCCCCCACCCCCCCACCCCCCCCCCACCACCCCCCACCCCCCCCCCCCCCAACCCCCCCCCATCCAACCCCCACCCCTCCCACACCCCCCAACCCCCCCCACCACCCCCCCCACTCACCACCCACACCCCATCACCACCCCCCCTCCATCCTCCCCACCCCCCCCCCCCCCACCCGCCCACACCCCCACCCACTCCCCCACCCCCACCCCCCCCCCACCCCAACCACCCCCACCCCCCCACCCACCCCCACCAACCCCCACCCCACCCCCCCCCCCCCCCCTCCCCCACCCCACCCCCCCCCCCCCACCCCCCACTCCAACCCAACCCCCCACACCACCCCCCACCCACCACCCCCCCCCACCCTTCCCCCCCCCCTCCCCCCCCCCCCCCCCCCCCCCCCCCCCCCCCACCCCCCCCCCTCCCCCACCCCCCCCCCCCCCCCCCCCCCCCCCTCCCCCATACCCCCCCCCCCCCCCCTCCCCCCCCCCCCCCCCTACCCCCCCCTCCTCCCACCCCCCTCCCCCCCCCCCCCCCCTTTCTTCCCCAAAAAATCTCACACTAATCCCCTCCCAACACTTCTCAAATCCCACCTCCCCCTCCCACATTACCCCCCCCCACAATCTCCTCCCTCCAGATATAACATCTTTCTGAAAAAAATATTTATTTTTTTAATCATTCTGAAGAAGCTTAATAAATACAAAGACATTATTTCAAATATTTATCAATTTTTATTGATGGTAAAAACAGTAAGAGCAGAGGTTGATGAAGATAGGGCCTAAACCAATAATGAGTTTTGTTTAAGTTGACAGATCAGATTGATTGTATAGATGTCAATAATAATAATTAAGAGACCAGATTTTTGTGCAGTAAAAGCCCAAAATATGTACAATTGTGTAATTAACACCTATAAATGAGCAAAATCATCATTATTGTTTAATTTATAATATTAAATCATAGAAATCATGTCAGATTTTGTGTTAAACAAGAAAAAAAGAAATAAACAAAAAATTAAAATGCAACATTGAAAATGAAATTCTAGTTTATAATCACCAAATGACAACAATATATGTGTGTGATTAACTTAAAACAATATATAACTGTGATTAACTTAAAACTTAAAAAAAGAGAAATTTAAACAGTAATAAGAATTACATAAATCGAACATTCTGTGATTTTAAAAAATTTCAAGTAAAACACAAAACACTTGGAACGTCTATTAATTTACAAACATCTATTAATTTTTTGAAGAGAAGAATGGTTGGAGTGATCAGTCCAAAAAACAAATTATAAAAGTAAAATAATGTATATTAATTTTTTGTTTGGCGACATTTTGACCCAAAGTTCAGGTCTTCATCAGGTAACAGCAACTTTTTCTTCAAAATCGGTTAACCGGAAGTGACTCTTTATATAATGGACTAAACACATTTTTACAATTTTCTCGAAAATGGCTGTAACAGTTTTGGTTAAATTCGGCATATCAGTATAAAATAAAACAGTTTTAAATAAAATATAGTTTTTATTCTGATTGATGTTCTCTAAATGGCTAATTTTCAATATTAGCTTCCCCTAAAGTACCTTTAATTTTTTTTTTATTTGAAAAATTGACCATTTCACATTAAACTCTAATATAAAAGATAATTAACTCCGCCAGTTAGATATAGCTGCAGGTCCCAAGCCCTGGTAAAGGAGGAGAGTCCCATTACAGCCTAAATGGGTATATTCTTAGGAATGAAACACCGTCTCAGGTCAGTAGCGGTGGTATAACATCTTCCCCATGAAGTAATGGGAGAGCTGGCCTGAAAGCTCTAAAGGAGGCAATCCCTCCATCAGGCTCTGGGCACAGTAGGCCCATAACTTACTTGCCCGAGACCTATCTTATGAAACAAACTAAAGAGTATAGAGCCGATCAGTTTTCAAGGATTAAGACATGGTGCGGAAAAAGGATTATTCAATTTGGAACATGGAATGTTCCAATGTGTTAATGGAAAGGAAGTAGAGCTGGCGGAGGAAGTAAAGAAAGCAGGAATCACATTATTGGGAATTAGAGAAACCAAGAAGAAAGGAATAGAGGAGGAGCACGTCGGAGATTTTGTGATGGTATACTCAGGAGTGAACCCCATTGAACATGCTAAGAGGGGGGTAGCTTGAATATTCCACAAAGACATATCCAGGTTCATAACAGAATGGAAAGCTATAAATAACAGATTACTAACTATCAAATTTTTATGGGATAACAAACTCTACATACTGCTTGTTGCCTATGGACCAAATAACAACGCAGCCGCTGCAGAAAAAGACATTTTCTTTGAGACATTGCAAAGAGAAATAGACAATAACGATGGAACCGTTATTATTATGGGAGACTTAAATGGCAGGGTTGGCAATGATGACAAAGTATGGCAGGGATCCTTAGGAAAGAACGGTGAAAAACATCTCAACGACTCAGGAGAACGAATCTTGAACCTATGTCTCGCAAATGGAATGATCGTCGCAAATAGCATATTTCCACATAAAAAAATACACCAATATACAAGAGTGGTACCAGGACGAAATGAAAAATCAATAATAGATTACTTTCTCATAATAAGAGAAGAAATTAAAAATGCAATAGAAGGGGATAGAAATATTCCAGCACATTCTAAACCTTGTGTGGAAAACAAAGAATATTCAAAAGGATTGGGAAGTATCTGTTATAGTCCCAATATTTAAGAAAGGGGATAACAGAGAATGTAAAAATCACAGGAAGATATCTCTTCTTGGTGTCCCGAGTAAAATATACTCAAATATTTTAGAGAAACGCCTACAAAGAACAGTGGAATCCTCCCTGAGTGAAGAACAATATGGATTTAGGCCAAATAGAAGTACCCAGAATCTCATATTTACTTTAAGACAAATGTCTGAAAAATTAACAGAAAGGGACAAAGAGATATATGCCTGTTTTGTAGACCTCACTAAGGCATTTGACCGAGTGAAGAAGCAAGACATAGCAAAAGCCTTAGAAGACAAAGGCATTGAAACGGGCCTCCATAAGGCAATTCTAAGTCTCTATTTCAAATCAAAACAATAAAAATAAATATCTTTCTAACAAAACAGGTTATTCTAGGAAAGCAGTTTATTACTAGTACCCAATACTTCTGGCAAGATCCATTCCAAGAATAGATCCCACTTGTGTTTACTTCTTCCTCTTTTAATGCTGAATTCAATTCTACAGATCCTGAAATGGATCGTTTTTCAGGTCTGGAATTTTTAAACGCAAGTGAATAAAATGAGCAATAACATGGAAATATGGTCTCTAATAATAATAATAATAATTCTGTCATGAGTGATAAATCATAGCTATAATATTCGTCAGTGAAGATTAGTTTTAACAATAAAATGCTAAGAGTCTCCAATTTTCCTGATGGATAATTGGAAAGATAATTAGTGTTAAAGAAATATTGTAGAGCTACATCACGAGAGTGGAGACGTGGCTATATCATGTAATGCCAGTGCCTAGCTACCATACCATTGGATATCTTATACTTTCGAGCTTAGAAGAGTGTTTCCAATTTTAAATCTTCCATCCAAGAAATATCTTTCCATTTTTTTCTCACACTATCGTCTTTGAGCAGGAATATTAAGTTTAAAATGTGTTTTATTAACTTTTATAAATGCAAGTCTATAAAGGAGATTAAGGACTAGGAGATTTTTAATAGTGTCGTGTTTGGCAGCAGTACAAGTCAAAGAATGGTGGATTAAGGACAAGCTCCTGTCCCATTGTTATTTCAAGTTTTAAGTAAATGTAAATCCTTTTATATTATTTTAAATATGAATCTTAATCTTATATGTGTTGCTTATTCCCACTTGATTTCTTTTCCAGCACAAATTTATCTGGTTTTTTTTTTGCTTTGTTTTTTAATGCAAGTAGCCAATTATAGCAGTCCAAAAAAACAAACCACAAAACCATCTTGCAAAATATACATCCATGTTTGAAATATTTTCAGCTTTGGCTGGCATCTAATTATAGGCAAGCTATGTCAAAACATTTTCAAGAGAGAAAGTTGTAAATCACAGTATATTGCTCATTGTGGATAGAGGTAATATACACGTTATAGAAATATTGGATCTTTTTTTTTTTTACACACTATGGATTAACTGGCTCTTCTGCTTAACTAGCAATCTAGATCTCAATTTAAACAGATAAGTGGGAGTCTGCTATACTATTAGTTTTTTTATACGCTGTTAATTTTACTGATTTTGAAATAATTGCCTCATTTAACATTAAGGAAACATAAATAAAAATTGTTTCCACGATATTTACCTCTTTAAAAGATTCAGACCTGTCCTTTAGTTTGACACCATGTAGAAAGTCATCGGGATTTGGAAGGAAACTTCTTTTCATATCTAGCTGTGGATTATACCTTTTTCTTTTACCAGACTTTCCTACAGAAAGAAGCTGTTTTATAAAACATATTTATAAATAGGTACAATGCCCTGCTTACTAAGAACACAGTATATTCCAAAAACTTATTTTTGATATTATTATGTCATAAAAATTAGAAAAACTTTTTAATGTTAAAATGTAACAATTCCCTTATTGTTAATCTTTTTAAAATACACTATACTTGGTCCTAACTAGAGGACCAATTAATTGAAATGGAGTAATGAGACTTTTTTATTATTATGATACTGTAGCATTCTTACTAAGAAGGGCAGTCTGTATATAAAATGAGCATCAACTGCTTTAATTAATCCACTCACTAAAAAACTGAAACTATAAGATAATGTACTCAAAAACATGGTTCCTATTTTTCTAAGAATGCAAGTGTGTCAAAAGCTTGTCTTCCAAAGATTATGAAAATCAACTAAACACTTTAAAATAATTTTAAAAAAGAACATTTTCAGAAAATCGATTCATTTGAGAGATGAATGAGATGAGAGGAAGAGATAGAAGACTCTCCAATTAACACTGCTTAAGATATGACTTTTTGATTTCTTAAAGAAAATTTAATTCCTGTTACCACGGTGGCCTAGCCAGGGACAATACCACTTCGAATCCTGCCCAAGGGTTTTAATTTTAGTATACCCAGGGTCACCAACTTGTCCCACAAATGTTAAACCAAATAAACAAACAAACTTATTGGCCATTTAATTTTTTTTCCACTACTAAATACCTCTCCTCATAATGAACATTGTTTCATGCAACAAGAATAAAATATTTTCAATAATTTTTTAATCATGAACAATTACCTTCTTTATAGTCTATTTTTACATCTACCATTTCTTTATTCCCTTTCAGCGAAGGTCTAGTAGATTTACTCCCAGTAACAACAGGTTTCACCTGTACAACTTTGGCAGTAAGTACTTGTTCAAAACTGATGTTAAATTTTTCAGAAATTTCTTTTTGCCTGTAATTATAAAAAATAATATAATATAAATGCCATATTAAATAATTTTTTTTTAATATGAGGTGATCCCAAATATACCAGGAAGAAAAATAAGAGAAGCAAAAATTAAACTCTGAATAAGACATAAATTTCCAAATATGAAATACATATCTCCAAACGAATTAAATATGCTTAAATCAGATACTACACAAATGAGGTCATGATGACTGAGAGTGTTAAGGTCTAGCAGTGTTGGTTTGAATCTGACGTGGATGGTTTTAATTTTTTTATAGCTTTACTTCCCTGCACTACTGACCATAATACTGGTATATAAAAGTGTTATTCACAAGACATCCAACCTGTTCAAAACAGAGTGAAAAAGTTCGAGATTCGTCCTGTGGGTCCACCACAAAATAAATTTCGACTAGTCCAAACTGGATTCAAACTGTTGCCACTAGATTCAAGGCTACTAAGGTCACGACACATAAATACTATGGCTTCATTGGCCTAGGTCAGTTGAACTTTTATTTCATAGCATGTTCACGCAATGAATCTTGACCTTTCCACTTTGGTTAGAATAGATTGGTTATTTGTAGAATAACCTTCCTGTAAGACAGAAATGGCCAGATAGGCGGGGGGGGGGGAGATACAACAGTGATATGTAGCATTTAGTAATTTCTTAAAATCTTATGATCAAGCTCAGAAATAGACAGAAATAGATACCTATATGGATATTTTGGCATTGAGTTGAATGAAAAAATGTTTTTAATTTGTCTATTTCTATAAGGCAATGTTTTAGATCAAAAGTATAACAAAACATTAAAATTAAAATTAATTTGTTTTGGTTGGCTTAAAAGTTCTGGTGAAAATTGAGAAACAATTTTCTGCTGGTAATTCCACATAACTATTAGATCATTTCCTTTCTACATTTTTGTTTCTTCTTAACCTTAGGTGCATGTTATAAAAATATTGATCATTTATTGATTAAACCTATGATGTGTCATGTACATGTTTATCATTCCTGATCTCGTTTTGTACATTTTTTTTTATTCCTTTTCTTCTCAACAAAACATGTTACAATAAATAACCGAATTATTACTTATTAATAATATCAACTGTATGAAGTCTCCATTATGAGAGTATAAATGAAAATTAGCTATGAAGTAACTTAAAATCTTCAAGTCTACCCTTAACAAGTTTTCCTTGATTGATTCTGAATATAGGTAGTACACTTAATTTACAGAACAAAATATCAGAAAAAAAATTATCGTCCTGATGAGAGAAAATATGGTATAAAAATAACAAAATATCGTTACATTTCAATAGTGTTGTTACTAAATACTAAAAGTGAAAAATTCCTCAACATGTTCATTTATTACTTTAAGTTTTAAATTAGTGACAAATTAAGTACTTAAATAAGTATGGTAAACTCACCAAACTTCATCATAGAGATATTCAACTGTATCATTGGTAAACTCCTGTTCCAAAATCTTTTTAGTCCTAAGCGGAATATGAAGATCTCTATCAAATATTTCCATAAGATTTGAGCAGAGAGGAGAAAGAGAAGGAGGCAATGGCTCTACAGGCTCTTGGCATAAATCTTTCACGAACCTGCTCATACATTCTTTGACACTTGAAGGGATTACTGCAAAAGGAAAATTAACATAATTAAACAAAATGAATATATCATGGTACTAGATACAACAAGTGGGGAATATTATTGCTGTGGACTATAAATTAAAATAATGCAACATATTAATGTTTTCCTTATCACCATTTTGTCTTGCAGTAATGCTATTAAACTTCAAATTTTTTAACATTTATAGTTCAAAATTGTGGATAATTCAAACTTTTATGTTGAGCTCTTTAATTTTTTATTCATCACCACAATGTGAAAAAAAAAAATTGTCTGTAATTCGATATTTACAGTTCTATAATGTAATGTTTTATTTTCATGAGAAAACTATAAATACTAAGCCCTACATAATTAGATAACCAGTTCATCTATAAGAAGAAAAACAATTTTAAATACTAACAGGTTGATTGTTATGCAAATACAGTCACATATTGTACAAACAAAACAGTCAGTCTCTTCAGTTCGTATTTGTTGATAAATTTCACGATATAATTGTAAATTTACATATTTATTTAACTTAACTTAAAATGCTTCAAGAATTCTTGAAGAATAAATAAGAGCCAAAGTTTTGTTTTTTTAATAGTTTTAGTTGTTATCATATAATATAAAAGCTCTTCTTCTCCAAAAACAAAACAAAAAACATTGATAATAAAAGTAATGTAAGAAAAATCAATGATATGATGGCAATGAACCTTTTATAGACAAACTTGCTTAAGTTAAAATTTTATAGTGGCCCCTTTAACTATAAAGTAAACAAGTTCTATGAAATGTAAAACAACATTCACTAAAACTACATTTTTGGTAAGTTGTTAATTATTATAAAAAAAAAAAAGCTACTGTTAGGATGGATCCACGGATTTTGAGGTTTCACAGTATAACAATTAGTCATAATTGTTAAAAAGTAAGAGTAGACAAAATCATAATAAATTTTAGTATAGAATTAATTTATTAACAAAAAAAGTAAATTTTTCAATAAAATAAAACCCAATAAATAAATAAACCTACTATGCTTCCTTTCGAACGTATGTTTGGAAGGTAATTTTTCCCAATGAGACAGGAATGGTTTCGACCCACCGACTGCTGAAGCAGGATGATAGATGTTTCTAGTAGCCTGATGGTAGACGGACACAACGCTGCTGCGACAATTAATATAGCTCACCCACTCTGACCAATTAAATAACCTCTTTTTATCCTTTTCCTGTTTCCTATAATACACAATACTTCATAAAATGGCTGAATAGATATAATTTAGACATAAAAATAGTTGATATATATGTTGAAACTTGGATGGTGGGTGCAACCAAAGCCTCGGTGTCAATAAATAAATAAATTAGCTATCCTGTAAAATTATTTTCAACGCAAAGTTTAAACTAAAGTTATAGAATAAATACTGTAAACAAAAGTAAACATATACCCTTTCCAGCAGACAGGAAGTCATAAATTAAACATTTCACAAGATATCTATAAATGAACTTGTATCCTTATAACTTTTTTATTGATGGTATAGAAATGATTGATAATAGCTCTAATTTAAGGAGTATATTATTGTGATTTTTTAAAGATATTTTGGAATTATGAATTAAAAATTGCCAACAGTTAATATATACATTGGAACTGAGGTAGGTGAGGGGCAACCAAAGCCTCAGTCTCAATCTTTCCCTGGCCTTCAACCCGACCACATGTCGGCTATTAGCACCACTTAGTATCCAACCTAATAATTCATAATCAATATTAGCACAGTCGTCAGGATCATCAACCGTATCTGAGAATCATCAATTAGAAGACTGACAGCATTCACATAAATCATGTATAAAATAAATTGTTCCCAGATGGACCAAGGAAAAACGTAAGTAAATAAAACAATAAGGCAGTTCCAAGATCATGAGCCTGTAACAGTAGTGCTAAGCTGGGACTCGAGGAGCAACTCAGATAACTAGTACTGAGGAAAAACCAGTTTGACTCCCCCAAGATTGCTGATTATCAATGATGTTGGAAAAGTCTAATTAGCTCTTTGTTTAGTAGATTATATTGTGTTCAAATAATGTATCACTTTATTTTGCATCTATTTTGAAGTGATCAAAGGTTATAGGTACCACCAGACCTCTAGGAAGAGTTTTATTTTAAAATAATATCAAAATTGTATGAAAAAGATATTAAAATATGTTTACCTGTTAATAATTTTAGTGACTTTGGAAATACATTTCTCGGTGGTACCATCTAGCCCTAAAAGTAATTTCAAGGCAAAAATAATAAAAGCCATTGCTCGTCCTTCATAATTGACAGAAAGAGTCAGTCTCAACCTAGGTGGACTAAGTTCCATTAACATCCTTATTATTTTCAATAAATCATCTAAAAAAAAAGTTTAAATACATTTAATAATAAATAAAAAATTAAAATTATACCTAGTTTTAACAATATTATTCGCTTCAAAGGATCTTCTTATATATTCAACTTTTTCAAGAATATAAAAAAACCTCCAGACTTCCAAAAAAAAACATTATTTTTCCTTTTTCAATATTTCAGATGTATGTTCATTTACAAAAATTCTTTCCGTAATTGTACAATTTTTTTTTTCAATTTGCAGGAAAAAAGATCATTACAATTTTAAAATCATAAGAACTTAACTATACTGATAGTTCATAATAATGAAAAATAATTATAACTGATACTAAATACAACCACACCTACAATAACAATGAACAAAATAAAAAGGAAAAAGATTACCTGGCAGCTGCAATTCTTTCAAGTATCTTTCAATGAGGGGCAAGATTCTAGGAGACACGTCAACGACTCCTAGGGAATCAGCCATTAGCATAACTTTTCTGTTAATATGCTCCCTTGAATTAAGAGCAAAAATGAAAATCGGAATAATATCCTTGCCAATGGATACCTTGGAAGGAAGTAGTTTTTCAGCATTGAGTAGTGACAAATAGCCTTCTGCAGACCACCTAAAAAAAAATTTTGGATCAGATTTTCAGGTTTTAGAACAATGGTAAATTAAAACAACATTCATATTTGGCTTAAATGAATTTATAAAACTGTAATTACGTCCACAGTAATAAAACCTGGGTGCTGACTTCAGCTTGCGTGAACAGCCATAAAATCTGAGAAAGAAGAGTACTGAGGAAGAAAGTTAGGCCTGTGCGAGAGGACGATGAATATAGAATAAGGACAAACTTCAAGCTGGAAGAGTTATTTTGTATAGTTGATATACTGCGAACTATTCAGAATAGAAGACTGGACTGACCTAGATAAATGCAAGAGGTAAGCCACGTAAACCATGGCTGGAAGATATGGAGGAGGACCTTCAACAGCTTAATGTCAGACAAGGGTGCACCTAAGCTAAAGATAAAGTAGAATGGAGCAGGACAATGGAAGAGGCTTTGATTCTTTATGGACCGTAATTTAGTTATTATTTTATTTATGTCTCCAAATTCCCTTCAGATCGTTTCCAAATTATAAACAAAATTTAATAATCTCTTTAAATATTCTTAAGAGTAATATGGATTCATTATTCATTAATAAGAAAAGAATAAAAAACTTAGTTCAGCTGGCAAACTGGAAGCTAAACTTGTTTATATTCCAAAGCCTGATTAGAAATAACAACCAGTAAACATGAAAAAACAAAAACAAATGAGGCAATGCTTATTTGGTTTTGTGTGCAATTTGATGCCATGTTTAATTTATTTGATTTCCTAACATTATCTTTACAAACTTAATTTATATGAAAATCTCATCCAACACAAATTATCAAGACTCCTGAGTAATTTCTAATTTCTGAAATCTGTAACCATATCACGATTATTTATTTATGTATTATCACAGAGCTAAACATAACTTTTGAATATTATAGTAAATATCTTAGAATAAAAAAATTATTTACTCATTACTAACCTTAAAAGGTCTCCTAAGTGGATATCTGAATCTAAGATAAGTAAAGCGAGCCTCAATATTGCAAGTAATTTTGACAATGACAAGTGGTGTAATGATTTGGCTTCTCGACCAAATATTTGCTTCTGCAGAGAGCTTCTGGCATCATTGTCTATTTCTGAAGCTGCATCCAACATGCTGCTTAAAGCTACTTTAGCTTTCGTATTATACCTCAATCTGCAAAAACATAGGACATCATCAAAAAAGATCAATATAAAAACATTTTTTAATTCAAATTAATTAATTCCAAATGCATTAAAATATTTAAAAATGTTAAAAAAGAAATTGCATTTTCAAAGTTATTACCACAAGGATAAAATAAGAAATAAAATTATTAGTATTGTAATAAAACAAAACATTTAATTAATGATAATAATATAAATTAATAAATTAGATTATTAATTACTTTAATAACAACTTTAAAAAAATAAAACATAACATTACAAATTATTAACAACATAATAAAGCATTCTACTATATATTGCATTTATTACATGAATTTAATTATGTTGTATATAACTATATAACATATTATACATTATTTGGAGGAACTCTAACAATCAACCAAGATGTTAAAGTATACTGCTCAAAAATGAAAAGGGATGCTTATTTTATTTGTTTTGATTATAATACCCTATATTTTTTTGTTCATTACGGATACTCTTATTTGTTGGTAAACATATAAGATAAACAATAAATATTTTTATTTTTAATAAATTATTAATTAAAAGATAGTCAATATGATGAATAATTATTTTGTAAACCAACAGATGTTTTCAACTTTTCTCAATTTGAATCCACTAATATTCTTTTAACTATGAAAAGACATCATGTTGAACCATAAGTTTGCAATATTATGGTGAAAATGAGTGGTCAAAAGCACCAGTAAGTGGATATCACCGATGCAGTTAGCATCTCCCAGATTGTGGTCTCCTGATCTTTAACCAGATTCAGGAAAAACAGAAGTACCAATAAGAGACCTGTTAGTGGATCTCGGTACATTATGATACTGTAGTGTTTGGTATATGGTTCAAAGTATATTAAAAGGATCTCGAAAAATAAACATAAACAAACTGTACTAAAATAAAAACAATATTATTCATAAAATAAATAAATAATAAAAATCTTCTGATTGAAAAAAATTGTACAATAAATAAAAAAAAAAATAAGACGAATAAGAGTTTAAAAGGTCTGTGATAATTATATCTGAATTATCATACCGTCACTATGACTTCTGATTACCAGTCAACTTTCACTGTCACTATTCTTGTATTTTTTGTCGAGTAAAAATATGTTTTTTAAACCTATATGTATACAACGTGAGCAGCATTGGGGAAGGCTAACTGACTGTGTACTCAAGCCAAAGAGATTTTATGCCATATAGATTAGTGCTGCTGCCAGTACTAAAGGATGACTACTGCAAGAATTAATCCTTTTCATAGTACCTGAAAGAGCCTAAATGAACTATTGAATGTTCTGCCAATGCCCATACCAACACAAACAAGTCATAATTGAACGTTTTTGGGAAATTGAACCAACATCTTATGCTCCTTTTAGACCTGCACCACCAATGCGTCACCAGCAACACCGCAGATCATGGTGCAGCATGCCCCTAGATGAGGACACAAATTGGAATGCTGTTACATTTACAGACAGGTCGTATTTCTATATTAAAGCAATTGTAGGTGCCGAAGAGTACTGAGAACAAGGGATAGGTACACTGCCATAGTTTGTGCTTTCTTCAATGCAGTCTAGAGGTGCTATTTACACAAGAGGACGGAGTTCACTCCATATTATGGAAGATAATCTCATTGAAGTTCATTATGTTTAAAACATTATAGAAGAGTACATTCCTCAAAACGTGTATTTCCATTGAAAACGTAAATTAGAAAATTTTCACGATCGCAATACTTTTCCTTACTATGTATTTAATATAAAGGATGGGATGGCTGAGCACGTTGGGGTGTGTGTCCCAAAGTGTCAAGTTCTTAATGTTGTGGGTTCGATTCCTACCCAGGTCGGTTACTTTTCATATCTCGGCGGCCCAGGGAATGGATTGTGAAATATTCCCACTCTGGTAAGTATACGGCGGCAACCTCAAGGTAACCATCATGGGTTGGCAAAAAGGACCACATAGGCCCACTTGCAAGTTTGCTAGGCACACGGACTAGTTTCTCCCACCAGTACCAGTACGTATTTCATATTTACGTAACTGAAAGTAATAAACCTATATGAGAAGGAGTTAGTCGAGGGTGCGGTCAAATAAATAAAAAAATTAAAATATATAAATTATTTTAATTTTTGCCACGTTTCGACCCACTTTGCAGGTCGACTTCAGGGACGTTCACTGCCAGTGTTTCAACTGCCTCCCGCAGTGCCACATCCTACGCCCTGAAGATGACCTGCAAAGTGGGTCAAAACGTCGGCAAAAATTAAAATAATTTATATATTTTAATTTTTTTATTTATTTGACCGCACCCTCGACTAACTCCTTCTCATATTATATCAACGGTCAACCATCTCTACATCATAATAAACCTATAATTTTATTTTTATTTTTTTTAAACACCTTTTATAAAATTTCTGGAGGTTAAATCCAATCTTGCTTATATTAATTTTCAAGGTATTTTATGATAAAAATAAAATAAAAATTCATGGGTCAATAAACCTTACATAACTAATAATATCCCTATTCATTTTTTAGTAGTATACATTCACTTAGTAGTCATTTCTGTAGTAGTTTTTTTTTTTTAATTAAATTACTTTTATTTAATCAAAATTTTCCTTATACGTTTCAAAAGATAAAAACCATACTTGTAACTTTTTTGAGAAGATGAAGAAACACTTTTGGCTGATAAACTTTCAAGAGTGATTTCCGAAGCTTGACTTGAAACCGAAGACTGTTCGTATTCAGCTTTCGCTAACATTTTCTAAAACAATAAAAAATAAGTTATCTGAAGGGAAACTATAATCTAACAAATAAAATAAAAGACTTTCATTATTCTTAGCTAATTTAGTTATCTATACTTCTTTCAGTAAGGCTTTCAGACCATCATCAAACCTCAACTATTTCAAAACTATAAGTTTAATTTTAATATTGATAGTTTTGTGAATGGGTTATAGTTGAATTGGGTGTTTTGTTTTTTTTAATTGTACCTTTATTCTTCATAGTAGGTTATCCATCTGTTAAGGATTCCTTCAGTCCCCAGTTTCTGTCGATTTTTTGTGCTATTTTAATTTTATTCTATAAGTTTCTGAAATTAATTTATTTTGTGATAGGTAAAGAACAATGTGCTTGGTTAGAAAATCACTCATTATATATTTTAATGATTTTTTGAACTCATATTAATTATTTGGGTTGTTTACTAGTAAACAAATTGATGGAATCGCTCTGATCAGGAACATTCATCCAATAAAGTAGTTTCAAGCATAATAAACTACTTAACAGCAGAAGCTTGTGGCAGGATAATCTCCATGACAATATGGTTATAAAGTTATCGGACGCAACCTTCAACCTATGCAATACCACAATGGGATATAACAATTTTATACCAGTTATTATACGGTAAGCAAAGTAGAGGGACAGGAATAGAATAGAAGAGTGTAGGGATAGCCTTTAATAATTGGCAAAAGTATTCTTTAAATTTCATATTATACAGCTTAAACTATCTGGAAGTATTACTATATATGTTATATGTGAACAAAATACTTTTTTTGTTATGTATTTATTTATAATAAATAATTGAGAATTTATAATAATTGAGTTCGGCTCTAGCCGGTGACAAAGACACATCGGCTCCACGGCGGTGTCCTATTTGATTGAGTTTTATTCGCCCAATTGAGCCAAAACTTGACATGTGACCGAAGACGTATGCTGGAGACCTGCTACTTGAATTTCGAAAAAAATCAAGCAAAGAACTTCGCCAGGACCAGGAGGTAAAGAACTCAACGTGCCTGTGGGACCGGGGTCCTTATCGCTGTGCAGAATAGGACTTGTCGGCCCCCTCCACCTCACAGCGGCCGCCTCCATCCAGCAAGGTCAGTGGCGTCTTATCAATACCAACAGCTGTCACCGAAAGAGCCCAACCTATTTTGTTGTTATCATTTTTTTTTTCTCTCTCCTCTCTTATTAAAAAAAAAAACTGATCACAGGAAAGCTTGATTATTGAAATTAATGAATTATTATTTATAAGAATTAGTATTTAGCTTTATCAACTGATCGATTTATTCAATTTTATTTATTATTTATTAAGTGGACGTGGGTGTGTTTATTTAATTTTTAACAATATATTTTATATATTTAATTTGTTTTTATTCATTAACTTATTTATTAATACATTACTATTTAACCTAGATTTTATTAATTGTATATTCTAATTTGTTTTTACTTGTTAACTTATTTATTAATCCATTATTGATCAACTCATATATTAATTGTAGATTTCAATTTGTTTTTAATAAACTGATTTTATAGATTTTAACGTTTTACCATAATTTATTTTATATATTTTAACTTAGTTTTAAGCAATAGAGTCTACAGATTTTAATTTCATTTTATATTTTAGCTTAGTTTTAAGATAGATTTTAACTTATTGATTAACCTTTTTAACTTGGGCTCTATTGATTTTATATTGTGACTTATTTTTAATAAATTGATTTTATAGATTTTAACGTTTTACTATAATTTATTTTATATATTTTAACTTAATTTTAAGCAATAGAGTCTATAGATTTTAATTTCATTTTATATTTTAGCTTAGTTTTAAGATAGATTTTAACTTATTGATTAACCTTTTTAACTTGGGCTCTATTTATTTTACATTTTAACTACTTTTAAGCATTTGATATTATTAATCTGATATTTAAGTGTATATGTTGGCATATATGCATGTCTCTCCCGTTTAGTTTTTATTTATTTGTATACGGGTCCACTCTCCTTTAGATGGTTTGTTTTAACCATGCGTGTAGTACGCATGGGTCTCTAGGGGAGATATTGGATTTTGAGTGGACCTAAGGACAATGAATGAAGTCGAGATTGGCCAGAGGGTATGGGTTCTGAGAACTGGAGGATCTGCTCAGGAGGCTGTTGTTGCCTCTGTGATGTCTGTGGATGCCGCGGAGGGCGGCGAAAAGAAAATTGTAAAAGTCGAATGGCCAGACACAGAAGGTGTACTATTGGGAAAGACAGTTTCGATAGATGACGTCTTCCCATCATTGCCAAATGTTCCACAGAATGTCGAGGAGGCGAACAGAGAGCAGGAGAAAGAAGTTCTACGCCCTAATAATAAAGTTTGTCCCATATGTGGGCTTTCTTTTAAGGGTGAAAGAGGTCTAGGAACCCATATTGCCAAAAAACACCCCAGGGAGGCTAATACCAATACACTGAGGGGCATAGTGAAAAATGTTTTAGGGCCTAAAAATGGAGAGGGTGAGGTATCAAAAATAAAAGAGGACATTATCGGATGGTCTACTGTGTTCAAAAACCTCTCAAAAGAAAGCACGATAAATATTGCGGATTTTGATGAGGCCGTAGGCAGGTTCCTGAAATTTCTCAAGAATATCAATGCGGAACTGCCAGGTCCCCAGCACCCAGCCGTCAAATTTTACAGATTGAGGAAAAAAAATAAAACTAAAGTGACTGACAAGGGTGCTGGACAAGTCTCAAATCCGCAAAGAGCGAACAAAGTAGACAGGAGTCGTCGGCAAGAACAGTATCAATATGAGGTTGCACAATATAATTACTATAATAAAAGGAAAAAGGTCGTGCAAACCGTAATGAATGCCGACGCTCCTAAGCGGTGTCCTCTGAAGATGGCCGATATCGAAAAACATTATAGAGACCTCTTTGAGAGCGAAAATCTCCGCAGGCGTGCGGATTACGAACAGTGCGCCCCGATGCCAAATTTGGTGTCCATTGATCTAGAAGCCGTCAAAAGAGCCATTAAATCAACATCAATGGACACATCGCCGGGGCCTGATGGAGTTCTGATCCGCACGATTAAGTATTTTGATGTAGCAAATATTATCAAAGTAATTGCGGAGATAATGCTGAAGGTGGCCTATGTCCCAGAACCACTTCGACAAGGGCGCACAATACTAATATATAAGGGGAAAGGTGATGTAAATAAAATCCCTTCTTGGAGGCCCATCACCATTTATTCTATTGTGCGCCGAATCATAGAGAAGGTTCTGGACCATGAACTAAGAAAGCAGGTCACCTTCCACAGGAATCAGAGAGGCTTTATAAAAGGCCTCCCGGGAACGCACGTCAACGCAAGGATTATCGACGCTATATTAAAAGATGCAAAAGTTATGAAAAATGATTGTGCGGTAGTCTTCCTTGACGTTGTCGGTGCTTTTGACAATGTTGGCCATAAACACATCATGAGCTCCTTAGAAGCAAGAGGTGTGTCACCGGATCTTAAACGTGTTATATCGGCTCTCCTCTGCACCAACACAATCAAAATTAGTAACGGTGTTCACGCAACTAGCCAAATCAAAGTGCTGCGCGGGGTACCCCAAGGCGGCCCCTTGTCGTCGTCGCTCTTCAACCTGGCCATCGATCATCTCTATCGCGACCTGTGCGATGAAGAATTTTCCAAAAAATTTGGATACAAGTTAAAAAGTGACCAAGGTTGTGTGGTCCTCACAGGTTTCGCGGATGACCAGGCCGTGTCAGCGCGTGACAAGGGGGCTGCAGAAAGAGTGATTGGCAGCGTTCAGAGGACTTTTGAGGAAATTGGTTTGGCTATTAATCCTCAAAAAAGCGTGGGCATCGTTCTAAATAAAGGAGAGCTGGAAACAGCGATGCTCTCCCTTGAGAACGGAGAGTACATCCAAACATTGCAGAATGGAGATACAATCAAGTATTTAGGATGTACATTCTCGGGAGAGCTACAGTTCAACGAAGATTCGGTGACCAAATTGAACGAAAATCTGAATAAACTGGTTACCTCTCCCTTGCTGAAGCCGGAGCAGAAGCTAAACATTGTCAACCAATATCTGTTCCCGGGTCTTACTTACCCTCTCCAAACTGCGCCCCTCACAAAGCTGCGTCCTGCCATACTTGACGGCATCGACACCATGATTCGCAGGAGTGTGAAGGCTATTGTTGGACTCCCTGCGAACACCTCCACGGCGATGTTGTACGCTCCCAGGAGGTATCGAGGATTAGGATTAATCCGCTGCCAATGGGAGGCTCCTCTACAACATTGGTCCATTGCTCAGCGACTGTCCAATGTGCCCGATGCCCTTTTTCAGTCGATCTTTGATTATTCGGCTGAGGTTGATGAATGTGCCGAGAGATTGGGGGTTGATCGGGGTATTCGGAATATGAGAGCTCTACGGCAGTCGCTTCGAGAAAATTCCTTTGAGGAATGGACCAATTGCAGGTGGCAGGGCATTGGAGTTCGCCATTTTAAAGAGACCCCGAAAGCCAACAAATACATGTATGATAAGCAAGTACTTTCTGGGTCTGAATGGTCAAATGCCCTGAAACTGAATATTAATTATGCACCCCTGCGTGGAGTCCCAGGTGTCAGCGGACAGGTAAGAGAAGTTGGGTCCCTCTGTCGCAAATGCGACAGAGAGCCAGAAACACCAGCACATGTGCTTGGAAAATGCCCCAACAACTCCCTCCTTATAACGCGCCGTCACCACCGAGTCAAACATGAACTGATGAGGCTCCTTATAGAGAAAGATTACGCCTGTTTCGAGGAAGTATATTGTATAGATACGGATGGATCCACCCGATATGCCGACATAGTAGCATTCCCTAAGACGGGAAAGTCGGCGATGATTTTGGATCCGACCGTGAGATATGAGACCAACGACCTCGATCAGGCAGGAAAAGTGGAAAGGGAGAAAAAACAGACATATGAGAAATGCATCCCTTTCCTTAGTGAAAAGTTCCGCGAGAGTTTCGGGCCGAGAGAGTTCCACGTGAGAGGCCTTTGGTTCGGAGCTCGCGGAACGATACCAGACTCAACAAGGAGCTTCATGGAGGGCCTTGGTGTCGACATAAGGGACGTGGCAAGGTTGGCAGAGAACATAATCCTTGACTCCCTGGGAATTATCCATCACCATGTGCATGGATAGAGAGTTTGTTCATGGGGGGAGGCATGCGTGTTTTACAGCATTTTTACATTATTTATTGACCACGTCCACTGCACTTTATGTATTTGTATGCATGTTATGAATTAGGTTAGGAAAAGAGAGGAGAAAATCTAGGGAACGAGAAAAATGTATAGAGTGAGAGAAGGAACAGAAAGGGATGTATAGTGCTAATAAATGAATTAAAGAAATGGTAAAAATAAAATAAATAAATAAATATAAAAATATAGGAAAAAAATTATGATAAAAAAAATATATATATAGATAAAAAAAAAAAAAAAAAATTGTATATTATGCTCATATATGTTGTTAATACTATATAATTGTATATTAGTTTTTGAAAATTGTCTGTAGCGATTAATAAGTATGCTGTGTTTAAAGCAACCCAATGTAATTGGGCAGCACCCTTTTAAGATAATAAAGTGATTCTCTCTCTATCGAACCAATGTTTCAGAGTTCTTCCCTATCGTAAGGGTTCTAATCTCAGATAATACAAAAAAACAGAACATGAATAATCATAACCAAAACAATAAAATACAACAACTTACATGACATTTAAAAAAAATATAACTAAATCTCCAGAATTGCACAAACATTTTTATTATTATGGAAAATATACCAAAAACAATGTTGTTATGAGAGTAAATCAAATGTAAACAATATTGTTGTTCCAGAGCATATTTAGTTGTTATGTTTACAGTTACAGTTATGCTTACAATTGTTATGCATACAGTTAGGAACGGACTTGTGAATTCCGTGTGCTTGGGTTGGGCCATTAGGAATGTGGAAAGCCGGCCACTACACACTGGCCACTGTCAGTAAGTAATGCTAACAATATTGGAGCAACAGGTGTACCCATCCACAGAAATTTAGAGGGTTTCTCTAGCATAAAGAGTTCAATAAATGATGAGAACAAGTGGAAAATCAACAGCACAATCGCTGTCCTTCGTCCAGCATTACAGTTTTCCATTTTTTTCAATCAGGAAGGTATATTTTACTCAATGATTTTTTGAATGAGTAGGACACAATCAATGTTACTTACTACTACGAGCTGTTAGATGAGGCGAGGGATACATATCACCACAAAAGACAAAACCAACAGATTAGAAGATCATCCTTCCCCATGACAATGCCAAATATATTTCTAGAGCCAAGCCTTGTGAAAAGTAATGTATTTTTTTATATTAGATTCAATCTTGTACATTAGTGATTCTGGGAAAGCCACTTTTAGTTTTTTAAAAACATTTTACAAGTAGATTATTGAGTTTTATATATTAAGTGGTTTTGAACATTGGTTCAATAATACTATGAAAAATATATATACATTTTTGATTTGAAATTTAATGTCACTTAATTTTTGAACATGGGGGAACATAAGTGTAAATATGGCATCATCAATTAAAAAAATATTGAATCTGTAATTCCAGAAATTTTGACCAGTTTTGAGCTGATACTTGTTTTGGGTACATTGTTTACAGAAACATCTTTTTTGATTTTTTTGTTTACAGAAAACAGAATAAATAAATAGTGAAAAGATTGAATATTTATACTCCATATGTTTAATAGACTTTCATTCATGAAAATTTCATCAGAGAATAGTTTTTGCAAAATTTTTAAAATTGTAAGAACTTCAGATATGTTGTTTCTAAAATAATTGTTTCAATTATTTAAAAAGATTTATATAAATGAGATATAAATTACTGTTTTCTTTGTAAGACGATATTTTTTCATCCTTGTATTGGCAAATGAAGATTCCTTCTCATTAGGCATGCGCGATTTTGTAATTTTCTTTCGGTAGATAGGCTTCTTGTATGCATTTATTAACTCTTTGTTTGTACCATATATTAATTCAGCATCTCTACAATAAAAATAAAATAATATTAATAGTGTAAACATATAATAAATTTTAGATTGATGGCTTGGTATTAAAATAATAAGGTGATACAGTAAGCCATGTCCAAATGTTAACTTATACATTTTACTAATTCGCCTATTTGTTTAATTAAACAGTCAATAACTAGAATCCCTAGATTTTTTCAATTACATAACATATTTCAGCCATTATGTATGATACATTTCACTAACCTCTTACGAAAATTCAAATCTAAGCGAGGTCTCTTCTCAATAAGTTTTGATATAAAAGCAGCTTCTGTTTTCATAAGATAAGAAGCCCAAAGCTGAAGAACAACCAGTTTCAACTCCTTTGGTGCTCCAAGAAGGGTCAGTTCATCCACCAGGCCTTTCAAAATAATATTAAACACTTCCCATGAAGTAAGATTTTTATCTAGCAATAATAAAAACATTTAATTAAAAAACAACTTCAATGGGTACATAAATAGTGGATTAGAAATAAAAATTATAAATATATGTAAAATAAAAGAATAAATTCAAATTCAATCAAGATTTTATTCAATAAATAAAAATATATAGATTTGAGACAATTCTATTTAATAAAGAGATAATGTTATTCTAATAAAAATCCAAGGATTGTAATAAAAAATTGATATATATTTAATATATTATAAATTAATAATGTATGTGCTTCTATAGCTGAGTGATTAGTAAATTAAAGACCATAGGATCGAATCCCGGCCCCTTATTCAGGGGAGGCCTATAGGTTGAAACAAACTTGTATAAATACCTTATATTTATACAAACTTGTATAAAAAAAAAAAAAAAAGAATTAATAATGTAGATTTTAGATATTTAGTGATTTAACTAAAGATATTAAAGACGTATAGAAAGTATTATTAACAAAGGCAAGAATGTTGTTGGTTATTTTTTGTGTATGTGTGGTTTTGGTAGGTTTTTGCGTGGTTTATTCCTGTGTCTGATTTTGGGTTGACTATTTTGTGTGTTTTTGTTTCTTATTTTATATTTCTGGTATCGCAATGTGGGTAGTGGGGGTTTTTAGGGTGTGTTCGGTTGGTAATGATTTGTAATTGTTATTATGTTGGTTGGTTTTTGCATGTGGGGGGGGAGGGAGGGTGAGGTGAGGGGGTATATGGGTAGGGGAATGGGGGAAGGGGGGGGGGTTTGTTATGTGTTTAATTTATGTGAGTAATTTTGGGAAACTAGTAAGTAGAGGTAAAGGTGGGCGAATTGGGAGTTGGGTTTTAGTCGTGTACTGTTATATTAAGGGTCTGGAGAGGTGGGGGTGGGGGAGTTGGGGTGTGGTAGGTGGGGGAGGGGTAGTGGTAGAATAAGGGGAGGGGTGGGACGTGGTGGGGTGTGGTTGTGAATGTGGGGAAGGGGAGGAATTGAGAGAAGGGTGTGTAGGGTGTTGGTGTGGATATTGGGAATATGGGAATGTTAAGTTATGGAGCGGAGGGTTTGGGTTTGTGGGGTTGGTAGGTGGGAAAATTGGGGAAGAATTAGGGTTAGAGGTTGGAGTGTATGATGGGGGGGGTAGCAGGAGACGTGTTAAAGAAAACATGATACACAAATGGGTTTTGATAAAAATGATACTAAATCATTTTTACACTGATTCTCAACTTTCCTTTATCTATGGACCACATAGACATGTTAAAGAAAATAGGTTTGTGGATATGAAAGTTAAAGTAGAGAATAGAATTTGATAAAATTGATAGAGGTATCATTAAGGTATCAACTCATACAATCCTTGTTTTAATCCCAAATTTAAATATTTATGATTGCTGAATATTTTATTTAATTTCAATAATAACTATATAAGAAATAACAATAATACCTGTAGCAATTGACTCCTGAAGTAAGGAATCTTGTGTAGCTACTTCCTGACTTAAAGGTGCTGCAATCGACACTCTTCCAGTTTTTTGCCCTTGCCAATAATCATCAAACACTTCCTCTCTGATATCCTATAAAAAAAAAAATAGGCTAATGAAGTTATTTAGAAATCTATTCTCGGGTTTAGTGGAGTAAGGCATGGATGATGGGATGAAGTTTCTATAGGGGCTGGTTCTGAGACCAGTGTCAGATGAATTCCCATCAGGGTTAGAAACTATTAATTTTTTAGCATGTTCATGATATAAATCTTGTTGCTCCCATTTTGTTTAAAAAATATGGCAACAACTAGACAAAACGTAAAGAAAAATAAGAGTTAAAAAGTAAAAAAGGACAAATATAAGGCAAGTTTTTTTTTTTTCAAAATCACTTAGGCTCAATTTATAGTTTAAAGGTATGCCATTAAACTACACAACTTTAATATTCAGGACTCTAGTTTTATAACAAATAGAATCTTAACATATTATTTCTTAAAAGTGTTTTTGAAATAATGCCATATCTTTCTTAATAATTTGAGGAGTTGATCAGGGAGTGCGGTCAAATAATACTAAATTTGATGGAACTTTTAAATATAAATATAGATTTAAAAAAATTGGCAAACATTTAAAATAAAGATTTCAGTCACATTTATCACAGTTAACTAATCATTTTAAGCTCTTACAATTAGTTTTATGAAGTTTTAAGGATAAATTTAGAACTTTATGGAAGAATAATAGTTTATTTCCTAAATAATATATAGAAAGAAGATGTCCCGGGGTGGCGGTCATAAATAATAATAATAAGTAATACCACCGTAGAAGCTACCGAGAAGTTGGGCCTATCAACAGCTACAATAAACAAAGCCCAGAAAGCTGTGCTCCTGAACACTGCGAGAATAGTAAGGAGCTTCCTTAATATCCAATAAAACTACAAAAATTAACATGAAGTGGTTGAAGTTAATTCTTCCCCACTTCAGGAAAATACCTTTTTTTTTTTAAGTGATAAAAATAAATAATAATAATAATAATGCTTTATTTATTCTGGGACGAGTCCCTTTAGAATAATAAAGAGAGACAAAGATGTGGGCTAAGGAGACTCAGAGATATATAAACAAGAATATAGTTTGATTAAATGATCAAAATAAAAAAAATAATAAAAGAAATTATAAGTTACTTCCTAATTTAAATCAGTCAATAATAAAAAATTGAAAATAAATATGAAGTAAAAATAACGAAAAACGATCTAATAATTTATATACATATTTACAGTAGTAGCTATTTGTAATTTTATGAGAGCTGGATGGATAAGAAATTATTAAACAGTAGGGATTTAAAGATAGGAAGTTTTGGATTGACGGATGTGGGGAGGGATGGGATTCCATAGGGTTGAGGATAGAATAATAAAAGATTTATCAAAAGCAGCGGTTCGATGGGCCATTATATATAAATCTGAAGACCAGGAACGGGTATTGCGGGAGTGGACTGAGGATTTAAATTGAAAGAGCTCGGAGATGTATGAAGGACGGCGAGAGTGAATTACTTGGAAGAGGAAGGATGCCAAGAAATACTTACAGCAGTAGGAAGGATAAAGCTATTTCAGCTCTTCATAGAAACAGGAAACAGGGGAGTCTCTTAGGATCCCAAAGATGAATCGTACAAAGCAATTTATCAAACGTTTTAGTTTCGCCTCGAGATCTCCAGAGACGTCCCCATATACCGTGCAGCAATAATCGAAGTGGGGAAATATCAAGGAGGTGACCAGGAGTCTACGGATTTCAAAAGGAAAAAGGTGTCGCAGGCTATTTAAGTGTTTTAGGGTGGAAAAGGTACGTCGGAAGATATTGGATACATGGTTTAACCAGGAAAGGGTTTGATCAAAGATTATTTCAAGGTGATATAGGCTGAATAGTGGCAAAACTATTTTATTAAAAGCAAATGTTTTGACCCGAATTTGTAGGTCTTCTTCAGGGAGGTGTGTTCAACTAGGAGTTTCACTTAGAAGTGACTAACTTCAGTTTGTATTTATGACCACTACCCCGGACCATCTCTTTCCTTTATAATGCAACGGTCAACTATTAAATTTTAAATAATATATTATTTGTACATCTGTTCCTGAGAGACAGAAAAGGACCTATACTATGACATGATATATATTGTGGTTAAAACAGTACAAAACATCTCTGAAATGAAAACATTACTAAAAAAGATTTGTAAAAAAGTTCAAAAATCAATCACCACTAAACTATGCAAAAGTGACATATTGATAACTACATAAAAAGAAGCCTGCACCAAAAAAAGAATGTTTGATCCAATTAATTCATCGATTTTGAATAAAAACTGCAATTGCCGGTATGAATTAATTTTTTTTTTTTTGAAAATACTTAATTAATAGTCATAACTACAGAATGCATAACATACTTGAGATTGAACTTGACATTCAGAACAAAAATAGAATCCAGATTCTAAAACGTAATCTGTTCCACCACACTGGATACACGCAGGTTTTTGAGACATTGCGATAAAAACAATCACTGTTTATCCCAATTCATCAACCTAATCCAATGCGAAATAAGTAACTACTTATAACCTTCCACGGCAGAACCTTCCAACCACGTGTGATAAATTTGAAAAGTGGCGCCTTTTGTAGACACTCTTGTGAACTAGTACCTTTATTTCAATCATTAATGAAGTTAAGGCATTTTCATAATAAAATTTCATCAATTATAATACAAAGTAAAGCTAGTATATCTCAATTCAGACACCTATCTGGAAAAGCTATTATTGGAAAGTAGCTGGTAAAAGATTATTCTGATCGTTTTTAGCTGTAAGTGAATTAAGACATTTCGCAAACTATGGGTAACACAAATATTTAAAGTTTACACAAATAGTTTATTTTCTTATTCTCAAGTTTTTTTTTCTAGTTTTTAATGTTTTCTATCTGCTGTCAGCACTAGCGGATCCAGGATTAATTTTTTTTTGGGGGGGGGGGCTTCAGCCCAAAAGTTTTTTTTTCATAAAAATAACGATAATTACTTTGGAAAAAAAGAAAGAAACTAACTACCTGTATGAAATGGTGTTTAAGTTATTCCTAAAGCCCTTTTAAATGTAATCACAAGCATTATAATACTTTAAGAGATAATTTTTAAATATTTTTTTCGATAAAACATGGTTATATTTTACCATTTTGGGGGGGGGCTTCAGTCCGAAAGCCCCCCCGTAGATCCGCCCGTGGCTGTCAGTTACAAAAGAAATATAAAAAGCGTGGGATTAGCGCTAATGCCGTTATTAGTTAAGTTAAATAATTGTTTTTCACATTATTTGGACACAGAAATGTCTAAATGCACCTTGACATGGTGGCAAAAAGCTTGATTCTCTGAACATGTTTTTCGCTCAGATTTTCTCTGTATCAATATCAATGAGGTTTCATTCTATATGATTTGTCATTCCGAATCTAATAGTGAATGTATTTGCTAACAGGAGTAACTAATAAAAAAATCTTTTATATTTTTGTATGAATTTATATTTAATTAATAAAATATCCAGAAGTTTTTGTTAAAAATTTGGGAATAATGATGTATAATTACATATACCTGATAATTATAGTTTTAGATCTTAAAAAAGTATATGATATTTATCTAAGAATATTTCTACGTAAACACTTAAGAAAGATTAGTATTAACAACGGGATTTTGAGCATAATTAAAGAAATATACAAATTAATGAAATTGTATTGGGTATTAGGTATTGTAAAGTGACAGATAAAAATTGACACATTATTAGTAACTAGTGTTGCCCAAAATCGGTCTTGGTCTTGCACTTCGCCAAACTGTTGCAAGACCAAGACCAGGATTAGTAAAAAAATCGATTTTTTTAATAACAATTAAGGCAAAATAGTTAGTAATACCCGACAATCTTAGTTACTATATGTTAATAATTGGTATAACTAATATACCTTTGCATTTAACACCTCTAATTTTTCATTCTGGCTTAGTTAGGTTTTCCCTATTTAAAAAATTACATTAATATCACTATAGTAAGAAGCTAATAAGTAACTGCAAGACTGCTGCGAGACTCTTGCGCAAGATCAAGACCATGACCAAGATTGAGTTTGCAAGACCAAGACTCGTCTCGGTCTCGTATTTGTGCAACACTATTAGTAAGAGAATTCCAAAACGAAGAAAGACTTCAAGGAGGCTGTTGATACCCACTCAATTTAAAATATACATTGACGAATGCTTAAATGTTTGGATGAGGAAATGTGGACAAATGGGTATACAGTTAAAAGAAAAAAAAATCTATATCATTTATTATTAGCACATGATCGGGTGTTAAAAGCATAGGATGAAGAAATAGGAAGTCATCTATTCAGAAAAATAATTGACTAATATGGACAAGAAAGGAGAGCTTAACATATATTACAATAAAACTAAGTACATGTGCATGGAGAAAGAAAAGATCACCGACCCAATATTAAGGAAACTAAGTGAAGTTGGCCAATGCTGTTAACTAGGAACCATAATATAAATAAATAGTAGAACGGATGAAGAAATTTAAAAAAAGAGACAACCAAACGGCAAAAAAACATTTGGACTAAACTTAAGTTGTCTTCTCAATTTCATCAGTTTCCATTTCCATCAGTCTAGAGATACAAATAGTAGATTGGGTACACGAATCTCTTGGAAAGGATATCCGATACTGAATGTAAATCTATCTAGTATATCACAGCAGGAGGGTCCGTGGTATATAGCTTTCAATGCATAATTAGTTTATTTTAAGCAGATCGGTACGTACATTCCGGAACCGATATAAATATAAATTTAAATAATAATAAATGTGGTTTCTGGAACCCACTTTCTGTGTTAGAAAAACGTATACCCAGAAACGTAGCATATATACATTTTATGATTTTAATTTTTAAATTTGCCTGTTTGCTTGTTTCGATGTCCAGGAGCAAAACATTCAGGCCATTAGCGCCCGATCAACTAAATAACACTACTTTTATACTGTTTAGGTGGTTGGTACAACAAATGAAATAAAAAAAGGATAAAAATAAAAAAAGAATGAAAAAATAGAATAAAATAAATAAATAAAGATAATCATATTCACTTATAGATAATAAGATAGAATAGATAAATAAATAAACATTTAAAAAATAGCAATAAAATCAATAAATTGATTGATTGAATTGAAATGAATAAATAAATGAACTTTTAAAATTAAAATTAAATAATAATAATACAAATCTTCAAAGGATCATTAGTTATAAACTTGTCAAATATGTTTTATAACTCTTTCATTGTCTAGGAACATCATAACTTTGGTAATGATTTCTTCTTGATTTAACTTAGGGATGCTGATATATTCTGAGGTATTTTCCCAGATCTTTTAACCTTGCGGTGTAAAAAGGGTACTCTTTTTAATTAATGACTGGTCATACTTTTGACATCTGGGGACAAGATTTTTTTTTATGAGGTGGAGGTGTGTCAGTCTAATATGTCCGATCCTCAGCCGCCTGAAGACGATCTCTTCTCTACGACTGCTGCGTTTGGAACTGTTCCACGGTTGCACCTCTTTCTTTATCTGCCTGTTGCTAAATTTCATCTTACGAATTCCATCTCATCTTATGAAATGAATTGATCCCCCTGTTAAATTTTTAAATATCTTGTTTTGTTACAATGGATAATATATGTAAATATTTATAACTTTAGCAAAAATCAAGAGTTACAAACTGATACAGCATTATTTTCATTGAGTTTAGTCTTTGCTAGTTCAAATATATCTCAACAGTAGCTTGTATAACAATCTTTATTACTACAATTTTTTAAATCCGAAAATAAATAACTTTATAATACTTTTCAGTCCAAGGAACTTTATGTAATTTTTACTTTCACTTACCTACATATGAAATAAATAGTTAGAGTTTTCAACAGAAATACGTTTTGAAGTTCCCTGAGTCTAAATAACAGTCTCACAAATGGTTTGGGTGTGTGAGGAGGGAAGGCGTGAGAGAGAGGGATGCGTGAGTGTTTCTGTGATCAATCTAGCTCGAAAACGAAAAGTTATGAAACAGAAATTGTAATTTATGGTTTTTATATGCCTTGGATGTTACAGAAACTTTCACGTTAAAATTGGTTGCAAAATAAAGTGCCACTTAATATCATCGATTTTACAATTTTCTCGAAAAAGGCTCAAACGATTTTTATTAAATTCATTATATCGGTGTAAATTTAAACGGTTTAAAATATAATGTAGGTTTTATTCTCTTTGATATTCTCTAACAGGATTAAATGTATAATATTCAAAAACGGTTCCTCTAAAGTAGCTTTAATTATTTTAATTTGTCAAAATTAATCATTTTATTTTGTTATCTGTTATAAAAAATAGTTAAACAAAATGAATGAAGAAAATTTATTGGTAACTAAAGGAGAAGTAATAAGGAATTATTGGAAGAATTGGAAGCAATAAGGAAACAGCTGAGAGTGCCCGACATTTGCCCAGCTTCTTCCTATAACAGATAACCGATACTCCTCTACACAGGGCTTTCATATCATTAGTTTAACGTGTATATATCACTTATCCATAACTTTCTAAAAAGGTTTTCACGCGAAATGTTGAGAATTTACCTATATAAACCTAATAATATACAATATTTACTAACGTTAAGTTCCTACGTTAACGTTAAGCTATTTTTCGACGAGTTTCGTGATAAATAATTTCGATAAAACTCAGAAGATCTATTTTTCTCCACAATCATAAAAATTGTTTGGTGCTACACACAATCGTAAAAGGAAGCGGGAGGCGATGCAAACGCATAAATTTAACAGATTCGATGGGCGGGAAAATCATGATAATCAATTGTTTTAAATGAAGTTGTAACATCGTTTTCATTTTGAATTCCCTATATATGAAAATACCTCTTTACTCTATAAGGTTGGTAAAATAAAATTGTGTGTTGCGCGTACTACACCAGATTTTAGTTTATTGAATGATAATACAATCTGCTAAATCTGCTATTAAAGGGCAACATGTACTCGTATTAAGGCTACAATTTTTCATTCATACAATAAATATAAGCAAGAGAAAAACAAATATAAATAACTAAAGAAAAAATATAACATAATAAAATGAATTAAAATAATCTCCTTAAACACATTCATACCAATTTATAACTTACTTAATAATACTGGTAATCAAAATTCAATTTTTATTAAATGAAAAGGGGATAAATAATATCATTTGCAGCTCAAAAAATATTAACATAAAGTTTGAAAAGGCTCTCCTTGATAACATCAGCCCGCGCTAGATTCCTATTGGCTCAATATCCAAATATGTTACACCTTACAAATATATATATATTTTTTTACTTCAAGCAGAACGAAAATTTTTATTATTGCGAATTTCATCAACATGGTAAATAAAACCACATAGCCCTCAATAATTAATCCAAACATTTATTAGAAAAAAATTTAAAAAAGAACGTTTATTTTATTTTGAAAAAGAAGAAAATTTTGTTTGAAAAAGTTGTTTCTCTTCTGCAGTATAGTTGATACTTTGTCATCCAATTTCATAGATTGTCTCCTTACTGTGATGAAAACTTATTTTACACAAACATTTCGAGACAATACGAAAAAAAGCTATTAATAAATCAATGTTTGAGGATGCAGCTGATAAGAAAGTGGTTAATTAAATAATTTCGCTATCAGTAATGATTGATATTGTTTTTAGCTCTCAATATTATAATTTTTCAGTTAGATGTAACGAAATGAACGTTTATGTCAGTGAAATTTAACATGTTTAGAAGTATGAAACTGAGTTATGTTATTTATTGTGTTGGTCTGTTAGTTTTAATAGCAGATGCAAAGTATCAGCCCAATTGGGAGAGCTTGGACAGCAGGCCTTTACCAGATTGGTATGACAAAGCTAAAATAGGAATATTCATTCATTGGGGTGTTTTTTCAGTCCCTAGCCTCACTTCAGAATGGTTCTGGTTTGATTGGTTCTATCCTGACCATAACCCAAAACTTCATTCTCAAGTAGTTAATTACATGAATGCAGCTTATAAACCTGGATTCTCCTATCAAGATTTTGCCAAAGATTTTACAGCAGAATTTTTCAATGCCACTGAGTGGACGGAGATTATAGAAAAATCAGGAGCCAAGTATGTTGTTCTGACAACAAAACATCATGATGGATTTGCATTATGGCCATCAAAATACTCTTATAGTTGGAATTCTGTAGACATTGGACCACATAGGGACATAGTAGGCGAACTGGCAAATGCCATTAGAAACAGCACGCATAAAATTCATTTTGGTCTTTATCATTCTTTATATGAATGGTACAACCCAGTGTATGTAGCAGATCGATCAAGTAATTTCTCCACTCAATTGTTTGTCAATAATAAACTATATCCTGAAATGGTTGAGTTAATTGAAACTTATCGCCCTGAAGTTTTTTGGTCTGACGGTGAAGCAGAAGCTCTCAGCAGTTATTGGAAATCAGAAGAATTCTTAGCATGGTTGTACAATGATAGTCCAGTTTCTGATGTTGTTGTTGTTAATGACCGTTGGGGAACAGAAACAGCATGTAAACATGGCGGTTTTTATTCTTGCGCTGACCGCTATACACCTGGAAGTCTCCAACTACATAAATGGGAAAATGCAATGACAATTGATAAAAACACTTGGGGTTACAGTAGATTATCAAATGTGGAAGATTATTTAACTACACAAGAATTAGTAGATTCCGTTGTACAAACAGTAGCATTTGGTGGCAACATTTTGATCAATATTGGTCCTTCAAAGGATGGAAAGATAGCCCCTATTTTCCAAGAAAGGTTGGTAGATTTGGGTAAATGGTTGAATATTAATGGTGAAGCAATATATGAAACTGAACCTTGGAAACTTTGTCAAAATGACACTACCACGCATAGTGTATGGTACACAACTAAGAAAAACTCCTCAGATATATATGCCATCATGCTTCGGTGGCCTAAAGATGGCTTTTTACATCTTTCTTGTCCCTCCCTCCACCTAGACAAGGTATACCTTCTAGAACTGCGAAATGTTAGAATTACATGGACGGTATCTGAAGGTGTGATTACTTTAAAACTACCTCAAAAGAGCATGGTAGATATGAATTGGGGATGGGCGATAAAAATTAGAAATGGTAAGCATTCACATTTTAATAAGTAAGCAAGAAAAAGATGCTTTAAGATTCAAATAATTCAAATTGAACAATTGAAATAATTTTCAATATCAATTGATTTCTTTGATTATTTTAATTTGAATAAACAGCTTTTGTATCACTGCATCTGAAGTTAAATAGTGTTTGTTTTTAATATAGCAGTATAGAAATAACTAAATTGATTTATATATTGTAAGATATATTTTTTATTATTAAATTTATTCAATTGAAAAAAAAAATGAAAGATGTTAAAATATTGAATCGTAATATCTACCACATTATGATTACCTGATCAATAAAATATTATTTGTTATATTAATATGAAAGATAATTTGTTATCTTATCACTCAATTTAAATAGCTTGAAAAAGTTTCTATTCTCATCATGATTTTGCAAAATAATTTTGTTTTCCATTTGAGCACTTTAATAAATTAATGTTGGCAGTATTTGATATTACGTTCTTTATTGAAAAAGTTAATGATATCATGGCCTATTATTTTTTCAGGTTTTAAATAGGGGTACCAGACTATTTTTTTATATGTGATGAAATTACTACCAGAAAAAAAAAGAAAAAAAGAAAAGAAAAGAACATTATAACGGAATATCTGAAGTGTCTTTTAATAATCATTTAGGATATCTCATCTTCACCAAACTACAATAAGAAAAAAATTATATAAATATTCTGTATATTGTAAATGACATGTCTGATAATAAATTAATAAAAAAAAGAGATGTTTTGGTGGGGAAAAAATCTGTAGAATTGTATCTTATTATTCTACAGATATAACCAACCTATTCAAACCATAGTAGGCAGGTTTAGATTAATTTCGTGAGTCTGCCGAAAAATAAATTTCAACCTGCCGATGCTTTATTCAAACCGGTATAGTCAGTTTTGATATTGCTAAGGTGATGAATCTATATCAATCTCGGCTGACATGGCCTTAATATATTAGCAATATGCATTGTAAATGTTACATTCTCAAACTAAGATGAAATCAGTGGTGTAAATATTTTGGGAAGCTTCCCTTCCTCTTTGCAATCTAATTTAATGCATCCATATCTACTGGTGAATTCTCCCTACTCCTCTCATTCCTACATTTCAAACTATACAGCATTTAGAATTTAACAAAAATTAAGATTTTCATTCAACTTCTATATTATAACAACCATTATACCATAAATGGACCATTAATTTGAAATATTAATAAACTGCTGGCAATCTGTATTTAAGCACTGGTGTAATCTTTGAATGAAAAATTTCTTTCATTTCATTAAAGTCATGAGCCAAAAAGTACACATGGTTATGAGAGAAGGATGAGACGCTGTGCTTTGACATTTCAATCAAATGTAAAAAAAAGTATGTCTTTTAAGCATAATTTACTTATTTAAACGAAGTATGATTATTATCTGATGTTTAAGAGTGAGTTTGAGAAATGTTGCAGAGTGAGTAATGCCTATGAAAAAAGGATAAAATCGTTATTTTTTCTTGGAAGAGAAAAGAAGCTCTGTAAAAAAGTTTTACATTGGAGCGCAGCCTTCGTTAGTTATACCAGTGACAAGATCTAGAGCCCACTCCTGGTTGATGCTCAGGATTCTTAGAACATTTAACGTTTTATTACCACACTTATTTTTCAGTTGAAATGAAAATATTTTTAATTCAAATAACACCTTTGAATTAATTCTTTCCTCTTTTTGACTTCTCTTGCACCCCTTAGCACCCAGGATGTTGAGGGGTGTTATTTTTGCTGCTGGATCAAGCATTATTGTAAATCATGTATTATTATCTTGTAGGTCATAAAAGTTTCTGGTAAATATTAAATAAACTTTTGTAGTATTACCTATTTCAATTCAAAGTTTAAATAACCACCAGTGTTTATTTAAAAAAAAAATACATATATAAAATTATTGTTAAAATAGGAACATTTAAATATCATTAATCATAGGAAACATTTAGTTAATCCTTAACTAAATCACACTCCCATGTTTTCTAATATAACCTGTTTTTTTTTGTTTTTTTTTATGCTAAAAGCTATGAACATGTTGTAAATTTGTAAAGTAAGCAATTGTTGAAATGTTTACATTATTTTATGCTAGTTTCTAGCCTATGAAATCCAAATTAATTTAAAATATCTCAATTCATTTACAAAAGGCCTTGAGCATTCTTCTTTCGTTGAAATTTAAAAGAAACTTTAGGCTTGCTTATGATATTCAGCATGAACCTAAATTTGATTATACAGTAATTAAAATTGTTCAAACAAAGAAAAGTAGAGTTTCATATTTTTAAAATGAACTATATAACATTTAAATATACTGATTTTAACTTTTTTCATCACTCCCAATGAAATAATAATAAAAAGTATCAAAGTAACAAATAATAAAAAGTTCTATGATATAACTTTCTCAATGTGAATAGAGGGAGTTTATTGAAACTTATAATTTAACTTACAAAAAATTTCTCTTATTTTTTCAAATATTTAAAGATACTATCCCTTTTGTTTTAAAGATCATTATCCCCATTAAATTATTTGTCATTGGTTGACTTTTTGATTGTCGAAGATTTACACAATAATAAAAGTTAAAATATTGATATATAAAGAAACATATTAAGCATTGATGGGCAAATAATAAAAATGAACTATAGAAAGCCATCATACCATATATACTTGATCAGTTAAAGAATAAAAAGGAAAGGCTTTTGATTTGCTAATTCGTTTTAAGTTAACTTATTATAGAGGTGAATGTTAGACAAAATCAATATGTGTTTAACTACTACAACATATAATTATTATACTAAGACACAAGATCAATTTACAAAAACTAATTTAATGTTTAATAGTGAACCACAGTAGTTTTGAAAATGTTCTATGTCAAACCATATGTTGGATAGAATAAGCTGCCCATGATATTGAGGTCATGGATTTCTTAACTTAAATCACATCAAACAAAGGTAATTGTTTTAATATTTTCATTCCAAACATTAGTGCAAGATGGCCTAGAAGATATAAAACTAGCTCCCTATACTCAATGACCCAAAATTTAAATCATGACTGATAAATAATGTTAATATGATTGGAAAATAGAATTTAAATCAGTTATCAATGTGTACCCTAAGGTATTTTGTTCATAGACTCCTGTAAGACTGGCTTATTTGTAGGGCAATGGTGTCTCAAATCAATTCAATACACTCAACATAATAAATATGACAAAAATATCTCAGGAAACACACCAAGCCCGCATAAATATGAAGGAAACCTAAAGTGATAGTCCCCGAAGCAGAACAAAGCGTACATTTTTAATAACTATAAAAAACTAAAATAAAATATTAATTAAAAATATAGATAGAGTTGAAAAATTTGTAACTGTAATTTAGGTTTAAATACTTCACATTTAAACCTATAATACAAGATATAAGATATAAAATAAAACAATACATATATACATAACATGATACACATATTTCAAAATATAATATTATACATATATACAATGATACGATACAATTACTCAATAGTGATAGAAATAGCTCAAAATAATTACATAAATAAACAATAATTACCTAAATCAGATATTTATAAAGATATAGTAGGTACTGGGTCATGGTAGGTACTTTATTTCAGCAGTGAATATAAATAAATATAATAAAATGAGTAATTTATTAAAAATATTAAATTTAACACATAAATTAATTTCTAGTTTAAATTTACTTAATTTTTTTTAACTATTGAATTTAAATAGGAATCATAAAGGTAAGTTTGTAAACTCATAGCTCAGCTCTGTGGGATCGTATTCCTGTCTAAATTGGGCAAAATGATGCCATCGATGAGCTCAGCGCTAAGCTTAGAAACTTGTCCATACATTTAAAGCCAAATAAATGTTGAACTATTTTTAAACAAGAGGAAAAATATCATTCAAAAAGTTTTAATGTAATTTTAAAAAATATCACTAGTTTTATATGATAAAAAATAAAAAATTTACAATTTTTTTTTATTATTGTTACTACAAAAAATCAAATTAGATCTGTAATGTATAATATTTATGTTACGTGATAATAATTATTGATTACAACTTGTAGGTTTTGAATATTTAAAATTATCATAATCTACGATTTTATATTTAAAACTCTTTCAAACATTATAAACAAAAATATATTTCTGAATAAGTATTGTGGTATTATGCTGTTTGCAACACTGACTGTTGCCGCGCTCGCTAGTCTTGTACCGATGACGACTCAACAATTTTTTGTGTTAAAAACGTTTATTAATTATAATGAGTGAAGTGTAATTATGAATGCAATTCATCACATAAATTCTCTTGCTTTTAATGCGTTGGAAAATACGCGTGACGGTTTCACGAGTGTAAATGAATTCCTTTTGTATCTAATCCATTCAAAATTATTATTTTTTCTCTCTTTTAGTGTCTTTTTTTTTTAAGTGTTTGAAAGTAGGCATCGCCATAAAGTGTTTCTGTTGTAAGTGAATTTTTTTTTTCTTAGTAATACGATAGATATATACTTTTGATTCTTTGATTCTTATTATTTAATAACCAACAAAACATGTTAATTGTAATGTATAAAACTTTTTTTCATTTTCCAACTAGCTATTAATCTTAAAACTTGATTACATTAAAACACTATCGGATCCAGGATTTAATTTTGAGGAAGGAGGCTTCAGCCCGAAAGATTTTTTTTTCATATACATATAACGATAATTAATTTGAAAAAAAAATAAAGTAATTACCTATATGAAATGGTGTTTAAGTGGTTCTTGAAGTCCTATTAAATATAATTATACGAACAAGAATACTTAAAGAGATAGTTTTTAATATTTTTTTCTGTAAAACATAGTTATATTTTACCATTTTTTTGGGGAGAGGCTTCAGCCCGAAATAAAAAAGCCCTCCCCGTAGATCCGCCTGTGCATTAAAAGATCTTATTAATAAAATGAAAATAATTTATTTGGTATTAATAACTGGCAGAACATACATTTCTTTAAATTATATATGTTTCTATATAAATACAGCTCGACAAAATTTCTTGGACTTTCAATTACTTAACATGACAGTATCTAACTTATTGTTTTAATTATTTTAAAATAATAATTATGGTTTAATTTATATTGTTTTTAGGCAACCTGATCATGTTGTACCTAGAGGTCTAAGGTCTGCTAACTGTGAGTATATTTATTTGACATTTCAAGAGTAACTCATTTAAAGCAATAGGCAAGTTCCTAAACCCAGCGTTGAACACATCATTCAACTCAGTTTAGAGGCGGATCCGATGCTATCGATGAGCTCAGCGATGAGATTAGGAACTTGTCCTATTGCCAGTGTTTTTACTATATTTTTTAAATTTACGTTTTGGTCAAGTCAGATTTATTTCAGAACGAACTAAAAATCCTTTCTACTCAAATGTACACAAAATAATACGTAATATTATGTGTAACTAATCATTCTGTGTCTGTTTTACTTATATTATTAAACGAAAATAGATAAAAATGTGCTCATTTTCCCCCCTCCCAACATTAGAATTTCCCTAAAAAAGAAACTTTTACACCAAAGTGGAAACCCTCCATTTTACTTCTGTTCACAACATACTCATCTGCTCCTAAATGATATTAGCTCTACGAATATTAATTTAATTGGCAACATTATTATTTAAACTGAGAACACTACATTTAAATTTCTAATTCTCTGTGTTCATGAAATAGATTCAGTTATTTGAAAATAATGTTTATTTTAAAAAAGTGGTTTATGGAATAAAATATATCTCACGTTTATATTTTTTTATTTAAAATACAAGAGATAGGTAACATAAAAAATATAATCAACAATTACCATCATACAGACAAATCATGGTTGAAATTTCAGTCTTATACGTCGTTGTTGTACCTCAGATTTAATCATTTTAAACTTGACTAACTAAATTAAAGTATTAAATTACTTTTCTTAGATTAAATTTTGCACTGAGCTATTAGTACATATTTATAAATTAGTTCATTTATATTGTTATTTTCAAGATTATGACACAAGATCGATGGATTCAAATTAGTAACTTCAATCTACAATACAATAAATAGCCTGTATATTAAAGTTTCTGTTCCCCAGCAATACCACGTGAGTTTTACTCCATTTAAAAATAATAATAAAGCACACACACACACATATATATATATATATATATATATAATATATATATATATATATATATATATATATATATACTTTTAAAATAGTACAATATCAAACTAGAAAACAATATGTTTAAAATTGGCTGTATAAACATTTCCATTAAAACAGTTTTTTTGTCATCTAGAAAGTTGTTCATTTTAAAGTATGAAGTACTGATTTGAATCCATCGATGTTTTATATATGTATTCATAAAGTTTAGGACAGAATATATATTACACTATAAGCAATTAATTTTAACAAAATTTTTTTTTTTTGTATAACTATTTTATTATTAGTATTTCTCTATCAAAACATAAATTAGAAATATTACAGCCCTGATTATCTTGGTTAAATTATAATATTAAGCTAATCGCTTAATTTTGTAAATAACATAACTACCTGCTATTAATTTTTTTTTAAATTTTGATTAAAACAAAACGTTTTTGCGTTGGAGCGTTTCTGCGTCTATTGATAATGTTTTTAAATGACATTTCAACGCTTAGTAAAATCACTATCATTATATATATTACATATTTGAGGATCTTAGAACAATTTGTATAAAAACAAAGATAGTTTTAATGATTGGTTTGATATAGTTTCATGATGGTAATGAACGTATTCTGTTTCAATATGACTGGAGTACTTAACTATGGCTAAAGCAATGGTCTCTTGGCATAATAATCTTTGATTTCCTCTGAGGAAAACAAATTTCCTTAAATTATAATAAAATTGCTGATTAACAACCCATAGTAAGCGAACGCAGTACGAACCCAATCATGAAACCTATTACATTCAGTGAGGTAACATATACCTTTCTATGTTCCGAAAGGTTCGTTATTTATTCTTGTGCATGTTTTTTAGTTAGTTTTCTTTTTAATGTTGTAACATTTTGATTTTCGATTTTTTAAAAATATCTTTGACCTCCTCGAGTTTAAGCTACATTTAGTTTAAAGTAAATAACAAAAAAAAAAAAAAAAAATATGAAATTTTAATAATAATTAAACTAATGCTCAAAATGGTTTGATTTTTTTCTAGCTAAAAAATAAATGTTTTTCATCAGAGATAATATAAAAAATTATTCTATTATTCATTTTAAATCTCATCCAACTCCTTAATATACTTACATATCATTGGGCTTCAATAAACAATTTTTATCACTAAAAAAGTTATTAATTATAACTTTTGTAATTATACTGTAGGTAGGACCGGAACTTGGATTTTCCCATGAAGACTGGTTGATTTACCCTCTCTTTCTTTCAACCCCTCTATTCCTCAATAAAAGTCAATAATATTTATGGCAACATATTAGGAAATAGATATTGTTATCTCATTAGTTTGACTAACTAGCGGATCAGGGATTTAATTTTGGTGGGGGGGGGCTTCAGCCCGAAAGCTTTTTTTTCATAAAAATAACGATAATTGCTTCGGAAAAAAAGAAAGAAACTAACTAACTATATGAAATGGTGTTTATGTGATTCCTTAAGCCCTTTTAAATGTAATTACATGAACAATAATACTTTGAAAGATATTTTTTAAATATTTTTTTTTTTATAATACATGGTTATATTTTCCCATTTTGGGGGAGGGGCTTCAGCCCGAAAGACTCCCCCCGTAGATGCGCCCGTGGTTTAACTCATTTTATTAACTAAATTTAGGTCAAAATGACAACAAAACAAAGCAGAAAAAATAGTTTTTATTTAACCTAAAAGTAAAATTTTATTTGAAATTTTTCGCCCCTGAAATCTGCTAGGATGCTAGGGAGGAAATGCCCCTTTTGACTTTCTTACCTCCCTTGTTCCGGTCCTAGCAGTTGTAAATCACTGAAAGATATTAAAGGAAATAACTGGCTGTCCTTAGTAATTTAAGATACGAAAGTGTTATCTTAAAAAATCAGCTTTTAAAAAAAAATTAAAAGTAATTTTTTAATAAAAAGATACTTTCCAGTGACATACCATGCGACTAACCAAAACTTTTGGGTTGTTTATCCAGTCATATCTTCAATTCATAATTAGGTCTAGAGTGAAGTTTACAAAATATTCTTAAATCTATATAAATATATGAAAATAAATAACAAAACATTTGTTTTTCCCGAATAAAGCTAAAGTTTAACTCTCCTCTTTCCATTTTAAAATTGAATTACGTCGTTATACTTCATAAGTCTGAATTTTCATTTCCAAAAAAATAAGTCAACTATTGAGTTATAAAATTTGACTTCTATTTTTATTTACACTTTTAAAAAATCCAAGAAATAAATGCTATAGTAATCTCCTGCATAATTAATTTTTAAAACTTCACCATGTAATCAAAGAAACTTTCGAGGGCCGTAGCCGTAGTTTGAAGATATCTGCATTAAAGTGTTGCGTTGGTAATCAATATGGTCCACGGTCATTGAAAGATAAAATTATGCTATACCCATACGGCTAATATAAATTACTTTTTTAAATTACTGTCCTAAAAATAATTTTCTACTTCAATACTTAGTACCTATAGACTTATATCTAAGGAATGTTTGATTATTGATATCAAATGTCGCATCAATGATTTAAAAATAATTAAAAGCAAACCTCATTCATTAATAGTGACTGAGCCATCGAGACTAGACTCCTATAATCAACTTCTCTCTGGCGGCGAGGACTTTTCGCAGGATCAATAGTACATTTTGTCATGACTAGAGTTTCGCTGGTCTAAATTAAATGATTTTGATAAAAGTTTGAATTTCTCTTATAGAAAAACTTCAAGTCTTCCCTGCAGACTTTTATAGTTCTTTCGAAGAGCACTCGTACGACCACTGCCTTCTTCTGTACTACTGAACCTTAGTTCCCCGAGGCGGAAGAGTCCGATTATACTTCTTCAGTAAGGACAGAACGGTTGGGCAGGATAAGGCGCTCTTCCAGGAAATGCGTATGGATCCGGATTTATTATCCTGCAAGACGTCTTGTAGTAATCCCTAGACTGCCTCGGAGCCGCCTCCCTGCGCCTCCCGTTCAGGTTGAAGAGCTGATCGAACCAAGTAGGCATCCCCAAGACGGCGCCGACGAAGAAGGCGAGGAAGAGCAAGAGTATCGTGTACTTCATCTCTGCTTCCTGGATGCTGAGTATAGACTGAGTCCCCACCGCTTCGCCTGCCCCTCTTATAGTCAGCTCAAGGATTCTCATAGCTCCAGGAAGCTACTCTTCCATAATAAAGGATACAGGATAACGTTAACTATCTCAAGGACCTGTCCTCAGAATTTTCCGCAAATGTGATAGTACCAGGGAAATTGTAAACAGTGTTTAATTTATGTCATCGTTTTAAAAGAAGCTAAACCTTCAGATATCTACATATGTATACTGAAAAAAAAATACTTCTAATATAATGTCTTTTTATTAATAAAGCATTCTCAAACCGACGTTTCAGAGATCTCCATTACCTGGGTTTAAGTATTTAATAATTATTACCCATTGTTTTTTTATTTTTCCTAGATCTAAAATCCATATAAAAATATTTTGTCATAATAAATAAATAAAATAAAATTTTTATAAAAAGATATCATTAAGGAAATATTTGTTTACTACATATATATAGTTGGAAAATATATAATATGAGTACATTTTTTTTTTTTTTTTGTAGAGCTAGTATAAAATTAAATAAATTATTACGCATTAAAAAAATATTTATATAAAAATGAATTTATAAAATCCTAGATTATAAAATAATTTATTGGTTCTGATTTAACTGGAATACCCTATAGTTATTTGTTTGTTTTCTCAAATATTACCCGAAAATTCTCGTTCTTTAATTTTTTTTTATTTCCAACTAGCGAAGGAAGTTAAAGTTTGTATTTGTGCAGGTTAACTTTTTTTTGCTTCTCAGTATCGAAAGTTTCCAGTCGTGTTTTATTCATCAAATTTTATTCTATCTTTATCAATCTGCTGTCACGTGACGAGTATATCTTAATCGTTAATCCAATTTTCAATGTTATCAAGAAATTGTGCTGGTTGGTACCTAAACGGTCCCAAATCAATTTCATTCAGTTATATCCACTATTTTAGCTTATCCATTTGAAAATCTTTTTTTTTTTAGAAAGTTTGTTTCAAAAATGGCTTGTTCGATTAAGCTCGATATTCGATGAAACATGGGAATTAATGAAAAGGTGATGATGTATGCAATTTTGTCGAATCTCATTCGCACTTTCTTTCTACATATGCGGACAGATATTTCATTGATACGCCTAAATCTCAAAAACCGCATGTTCGATTTGACCCAAAAAGTTGGAGAGAAGTTAGGGTTTAACGAACAAATGATGAAGTAGGAATTTGATCACATTCCATATATTACTTTCGAAAAATAGTTGTTAACAATATAATTTCTTTGAGACGTGGTAGGCAGTGAATAAATAGAAAGGTAGCTTGTACACGATTATAAACGCTATGCTTTTCTGTCATCAAATCCATGAAGGTGAGGAAGGGCATTAAACCTACTACCATTAATTCAATTTGATGAAATTTTCAAGGATCGTTAGAGTCCAATATACTTTATCGAATTTCATCAGCTTCTTTTCGCTCAGTATTTTTCCTTGACAAGACTACACTTCTTTCGTAGATTTCACTCTCAAACAATTTATAAATCTTAAATTATAGGAATGGGGTCGTATTTATGCTATCAGGCAAAGGTTTTTTCTTCTTCTAAATTTTATCCTTAGTCTGGATAAAATGAGTCTTTATGAGTCTTTTTTTTTTTCGTTTTAGGTAGATTATTTTTTGAATTAAATTAAAGTAGGAAGCTAGCACCCGAAATCAACGTTATTGATTTTTTCAAAGAAATCTGGCATCTGTTAATTAATGATTACTGATTTTTATTTATCGATATTCACTAGTCCGATTATTATTTGCCGAGATGATCTCCGATATGAGTTAATGAGATATATATCAGTTAATAAAAATATATTTTTAATATGGAGGTTGTATATAGGTATGTATGTGTTCTTCTTTTTATTTATTTATTTTTAGGTTATTTTATTCTTATTTATTATATATATATATATATATATATATATATATATATATATATATATATATATATATATATATATATATATATATTTTATTTTTCTGTATAATTTATTTTATTTATTGTACATAGAGTGTGAATGTGATCTCTGAACACTATTTTAAATGCCCTTGAGACAGATTGTAATATTTTTAAAAGTTTAAAAAAATATAAAAAAAAATATGGAGGTGGGTAGCACAACGATTGAGGCTCTGTGATCGTGTTTTCCAGATCCTGGGTTCGATTCCCGCTGTGACATGTAATTAGCTATTATGTTATACCAGCCGTGGAGACCCTTTTTGTGTACACCTGGCCTCTATAAAATAGGCACTCTTGTTTAAATAATTAATTATGGGTAAAACGAACCTAGACCCTCCGTTTGATGCAGTAAAATAAGTAGTAAAGTAGTAAATGTTTATTTATTTTTAATTTAATGAGCAATTTGTTTTTTAAATACTCCATTTTTCTTTTTCTGTTTATTCTGTAAGTTTGATTTCTGATTTATTTCCTTCATACTATTTTAGTTATAGCGGGAATATTGATCATCAGTTGGTTGGAAACCAAATTTATTTATTTTTATGTTATTTGTTAGTAATAGGTAATTATTTTTTTTTTATATTTGAATAGTATAAACATTTTTTATGTAAATTAGTTAAAACCCTAATACGGTAATATGGCTTACTTGAGGCTCCACTGTGAAGTTTGCAAACACTTGCTGAGCTCAGCTGTTAAAATTAAATTTCTTCTTGCCGAGTAACGATGTTACTCAGCATCCTATTTTGGTGTCCGTTTCATAACAAATGCAAATTGAAAGATTTGTTTCATGTAATTTAATTGGTTTTCTTGTTGAATATTTTTTACAAAAAAAGGTGCCTTTAAACATTTCACAAACTATGGGACAAAGAAATATATAAATGGTTATTTCATTATGCTAATATTTTTGTTCTTGTTTTTGATATTTTCCATCTGCTGTCGGTATCCTGAGCAATAAAATAAATAGTTTTGTATAGCAATAATGTAGCTGTTAGTTTAGTTAAATAATTGTGTTTTCCATAGTTCGTTAAATACGTAAACACTCCTTAAGGATTACCTCCAAATGCAAGGTTAATATAACTGCAGGGAAGCTGAAGTATTGCTCTTTCAAACCATATCAATAACTTTCAGATTTTATTCCGTTGTAAGTTAGAAATAAATTTTAAAAACTTCTATGATATTTGTATTTTACATCTTTGGTTCTAATTAGTTCACGAAGGCACTAGCGGATCCAGGATTTCATTTTGCGGGGAGGGAGGGCTTCAGCCCAAAAGTTTTTATTTTTTTTTCAAATATAACGATATTTAATGTGGAAAACAAAAGAAATAAACTAACTATTTATACGAAATGGTGTTTAAGTGATTCTTAAAATACTTTTGATATTTTTAGAGATATTTTTTTCTTAAAACACGGTAATATTTTACCATTTTGGGGGCTTTAGCCCCAAAGCCCCCTCCCACCACCCCGTGGATCCGCCTGTGCACGAAGGTCAAGTTTACACAATTTCGTATAGTCTATGGAGCTGTAAATCCTTGAAAAGATTCGTATGAATCAATGGAGTTCTTTCGAAGTTAACACAATTTGTGTGGTATTCGAAAAAGAATATCCAAGCAAATATTCTTGCGTTTTTGGTGAGTCAGTTGACTTGTACGAAAATTCGTGTCATATCCTCTCGTGTAAATATGCGTAAGGTTGATTACATCGAAATTGCAATTCATGAGTAAGAATGTGAATGGGAAGTGATCAAATATTTTAGCTAAACGTGATTCATGTGTCCTTGGGTTATATTTTCTAAAAATGGGATTGATTATAAAACTTTTATACTTAATTGTTCTAAAATAAATGTTAATAAAGATAAAAGGTTTAGTATGAACTATATATTAAAAAATATTTTCATTCCCATAGTAATTTACTATGGTAAAAGAATCGAAAGTACCAATGCTACTCTTCACTGGTCCTAGTCTGTTTTCAAAATATTTATTATAACGTTATAATTACATTCATTTTTATTTTAATCTAATACTTTTATTACACTTCTACTTTGCATATGTTAAGGATGGGATAGCGAAGGTTCAATATCAATATTGTCATCGATATTGGCCTATAACTATATAAACCATTAAAATATCGGGTTTGAAATATCGATAGTCGATATTTTCATCGATATAATAAACAGTTTTGAAATATGAATATCAATATAAATCTTTCTTCTCTGACACATAGCCGCGTCAAAAAAGTTATTATTTTCCTCTTTAAATTAATTAATGAAAATATGAATTCTTCTACCCTCCTCAGTAAAATTAATTTTATAGTTCCTGCCCATCTTCGCCATCCTTTGATATTACGTATTTAAGATAGGTATATGCCTTAGAGGTGACAGCGACTTTTTCCTTAAAATCGGCTAACCGGAAGTGCCACATAATGTCAACGATGAAACACATTTTTCCAATTATCTCAAAAACGGCACTAACGATTTTGATTAAACTCGGTGAATCCTCGTATAATTAAGTGGTCTTTAATATAATTTAGGACTTATCCCCATCGATGTCCCTTTACAGAACTTAAATGCCCAATGTTCATATACGTGTGGGTTTACTTAATTAATTAAGTTAAAAATTAACTTTCTTTTATTGACGGTAACAATAAAATATGGCTAAATATGAAGTTTGAAAGAAAGTGATAATGATAGTTTTGAACTGGATGAAAAAAGAAAAATGTTTATCCAGATTGAAAATGAATCTCCGGAAATAGCAGTCAGAATGTAAACGTACAATATATCGTTGGAAAGCGGAGTTGTAAAAGGTAACGGAAAGTGAAGAAAAAATATAAATGATAATTTCAGAAAACTAACATTATTTAACGTAAATCACATGTTTTCAAGAAAATTAAATGAAATTTTGTAACTAAATGTAAATTTTTATTTCTTTTTTTTAGGTATGAAAAAATATTTTATAATCCACCGAATCAAGCCAATGCCTTTGTTTAAAATACTTTTTCATTGTACTTGTGTTAAAGAAGAAGTGAAATATAAAAATATTTCATTGATATGTTTATAACCTTAAATAAATTTACTGTCGTTTAATAACTCTAGATA